TAGTCAAGAAAGCACAGGTAGACATCTTTCTGATATTCTCTGCTTTCAGCCAAGATCCACCGGACATTAGAAATGATATCCCTTGTTCCATGGCCTCTTCTGAATCTGACTTGAACCTCTGGAAGTTCTCTGTCAATGTATAATTTTAGCCATTTCTGTATTACCTTTAGCAAAACTTTACTTACATGGGATATCAAAGACATTGTCCGATGATTTCCACATTCTGTTGGGTCACCTCTCTTTGGAATGGGCACAAATATTGCTCTCTTCCAATCAGCTGGCCAGATAGCTGTATTCTCCATTTCTTCGCAGAGATGAGTGAGTGCCTCCTGTGCCGCCTCACTTTCCTGAAAGATTTCAATTTTTAGTCCATCAATTCCTGGTGCCTTGTTCTTTGCCAATTCCTTCAATGCACCTTGGACCTCTTCTTCCAGTATCATTGGCTCTTGATCATATGCTACCTCTTGAAATGGTTGAACAGTAACCATTTCCTTTTGATACAGTGACTCTGTGTATTCCTTCCATCTTCTCTTGATGCTTTCTGTATCATTCAATAATTTGCCTAGAGAATCTTTCAATAACGAAAGTTGAGGCCTGCGTTTTTTCTTCAGTTCCCTCATCTTGAGAAATGCTGAGCGTGTTCTTCTTTTTTGGTTTTCTGATTCCAGATCTTTGCACGTTTTCTTTAATATTTGGCTTTGTCATCTCGAGCTGATCTTTGAAATTTTCTGTTCAGCTCTTGTATTGCCTCATTTCTTCTATTTGCTTTTAGCATCTCTTTGATGGAGAACAAGTTTCAGAGTCTCTTCTGACATCCATTTTGACCTTTTCCTTCTTTCTTGTCTTTTCAATGACATACTCTTTATTTCTCCGGAGTCCTGGGGTGGCTCTGTGGGCTAACGTGGTAGACTGCAGAGTTATTTGGATTGTGCAAGGTCAGTGATTCAAGCTCACTAGCTGCTCCTTGAAAGCCCTATACTGGGTCAGAATCAATTTGAAGGCCCTTAGCAACAGCAACAACAACATTACCCGAATGAGACTCACAATATTAAAATTTCAGTAATTCTTATGTATTAAACCGGCAACAAATCATGCTAATCCCGTCTTCAAAATTCATCTTCATCGTCTTTCCATTTACTACTTTCCTACTCTACATGTTAATGATCTCAAATCTTTACAATTGTGATAGTCTTGTTTGCCTTTCTTTTGTTTTTATTGGCTCGGTTTCTCTTGTATGATGTTTTTCAAATATTCTAAAAATTTCCTTGCTATCCAGAATGCAAACACAATAGCTGAGGTTCAAGTCCTTCTACCAATTTTTCTTTTAATCTAAGCCCAAAGTCCACTCAATATGAGCTCTTTGCTTTCTAGTCAGGCCTCCTCTATAAACTTCCCTAGCATTCCAATACTCATTTAGACTCTTGCTGTTCCCTTTAGCTGAAATGTATCACTTTGTGTTTCACCCTGCTTCAAAACAGTGCTGCATCACCCAAGAAGCAAACCAAATAGTGGGTGAAAGCACCAGGAAAGAAAGTTACCTAATACTTTGGTCTGAGTAAAGGTTACAAACCTACTGTAAATTGCTTTACGTTTCCTTCCCCCATGGAATTCAACTAATCTGTTTATGCTTGTGTAGATTAGTAATTCTTTCCATTACCAACATTGTCAAAAATCCTAAGGTCACTTTATAAGGGTAGAAACTATATACTATCTCTTAGTGCTATGGAGCTGCTCATTAAATACTTAATGATTGATTGATTTCCAAATAATGTAAACCACATACACTGTGTTTTCTCCTATTTTTCTCCACCTCAAATTTCATTGTCTGCGATAGATTTCTAAAGTCAGGGTAAATTATATGAACCAACATATAAGATGCTAAGCTAGAGCTTGTGTACATTTACTCCCTTCCTCCAGAGTACAAGATAACTAATACCTGGGTGTTTGAACAAGCCCATGTTGTTAAATATCACAGAGCTCTGGTGTGGTGCTGTGGGCTAATGCGTCAGACTGCAAAACCATTTGAACTGCAAGGTTGACAGTTCAAGCTCACCAGCTGCTCCTCGGAAACCCTATACAGGGTCGCTATGGGTCGGAACTCACACTATGGCACTTAACAACAACAAACAACAAAGACTTGCCTACAGCAGTCCCTGATCCTACCAACTTTATCCTTTGGCCACAAAGACACCAGTTTATTTTGTTCTCATCTTGATTTCAGATTTAGAGGAAAGTAAGTTCAATGGTTTAAGATCTGTCAGCGAGTACACTATCGCTGTTGTTAAGTGCTTTTGAGTTGGTTCTGACCTATAATTACCCTGTATAGGTTTTCAGAGGCACAGCTGGTGGATTTGAACTGCTGACCCTGAAGTTAACAGTCCAGTGCTTATCCTACAGTGCCATATCAGAAGTACAAGACACTAATCAAGAAGGTAAAAATTGGGCTAATAATTCAATAAAAAAAAATTATGTGAGGGATTTCAAAAGAAAGGCTGAGTTATGGAGTTTTGAAGAAGAAAAAGTCAGGCTAAAAGTTAGACAAACTCATTTTTCAAAGTAGTTTCATAGCTTAAATGAGGTTGGATCTTAAACTTCAGTCTTCTTGGTGGATTAAGAGAGAAGTGACTTAAAAAGGAGGAAGATGTACTTAATTTATTGTGATGATGATGAAGATGATGACTTTGATAGTGATGATAAATAGAATGACTTAAATAGAGTGATGATAAATAGTATGACTTAAACCTTATGAATCTATCTGGTCAATATCAGATTCATCAGAAAACCATCTTCATGCTTTTCAGGTGAGTGTATCCACAAAAGTGGACAGCACCCACCAGTAATAATGAATAATATGCTGATGTAATACACATGATACCACACAAGTGAGGGAGAATTAGCATTTGTTCTGTCTGACTTTAAACTATCAGTTTCTGTAATCTAACATCCAAAAGGTACTATTTACATGAACTTAATGTTCAACAAATACTCCTGCCTAGCAGAGTTCAATGTGTCCATTAATAAAAGAGAGTCCGTGAAAATTATTCAAACTTGAATTTTCACTTTTATCTCATTTCACAGTATTACAGAATGAATGGGAATTTAGAAAAAGGAACGTGAATTGATTCCCCATTTGAGAATTCTGTTAACTTAAAAGAAATTGGTAAGTCTGGTATGTAAGAGCAAATGGGGAGAGGGAAGGAAGACATGGTTGTAACCCACAATATCTTCCTTCAGGCAATCTACTGACCCTTACATTCGCCCTTGTCATTGCTTTCCTGTTCTGGAACTACTCTTTAGCAGTCCTGTTCCTCCACACCCTAGGAACCCATGCATAATGATTTTGGATCTAACATTGGAATACTTTAAGTGAAAAAGGAGGAGGAATTCTGGGTTCAGAACCAAAAATTAAAAAAGCTACTGGTCTATAATACATATACAAAGCGCCTGTCTTTAGAAAATAAAACCAAACAGAAACTAGACAATCAACTCGACCTGTGGTTATGCACTATCCAGCGGTCCCCCTATTGATTTCTACCCTGGTTTGTGCTTCAGTAAATCACCAACATATTTAAAAGCAACAATTGGAATTGCCTTGTCCTTCACGTTCGCAAAAATGTGGCATAATGTGTTAAATACTTAAAAATATTCTTTTTTATCCTAGATTGCTTACTTAATATCATTAAAAGTAGCATTTCATACCAATATTAAGGATGTGAAGGGAATGAAAAACAGGAACGTTTCCTTTATTATCTTTTTTTTTCTTCTGCCAAGTAGAGCGAGATCCAGTCCAGGTTTTGCCTTCGACACTGTCTCAGAATTTCGGCTGTGCTATGTGTAGCACGTCCTCCCCCCCCCCCCCCCCCTTCCCTCTTGCCTCCAGCGTCTGTCTCCAGGATTTCTCTCTTCCTATTTCTGGAGGACTTTCACTGGCTTGCACAGCGTGTGCGAAGCTGAGGTTTTCCCTAGATTCAGTATATCCCCAACACATACCTACACGCACACACTTCCCCAAGAACATACAAACGCGCGCGCACGCACACACTCTCGCGCTCGCCTGTCCATCGCCCTCCGGGGAGAGCCAGCGAGCATTTCCACCTTCGCTGCACATTCAGGCAAACCGAGCTCGCAGCGCTTCAGGATTCTGCGGCTCAGAACTCGGATCGGAGCTCTGAACCCCATGGTGTTTTTTTAAATACTTATTTTCCGTCTCCTCTCTCTCGATTTGATCGCATCATTTTCGATCTAGGGAGCTAAAGGAGCAAGGCAGCTCCTTCCCCAGTCAGCCCCGGTTGGCTTGCCATCCTCCATCTGGCTTATAAAAGTTTGCTGAGCGCACTGCGCTGCTCGTCCCCTCGGCTGGCGGAAGGGGGTGACGCTAGGCAGCGGTGAGAAGCGCGCCGCTGGCTCTGGCGGGCTTTCGACTGGAGGGGCAAGGTGAAGAACGCACGGGCCCTGGGGTTTACCGAGCTGGATTTGCATGTTGCACCATGCCTTCTTGGATCGGGGCTGTGATTCTTCCCCTCTTGGGGCTGCTGCTGTCCCTCCCGGCCGGAGCCGATGTGAAATCTCGGAGCTGCGGCGAGGTCCGCCAGGCGTACGGTGCCAAGGGATTCAGCCTGGCGGGTATCCCCTTCCAGGAGATCGCAGGTAAGTGCGGACGCGCGGAAGCCTTTGGCGGCTTCTCGTCTCCCGGACGCACTCCTCCTTCCCCTGTTGCTGAGTTGTTCGTGTTCACTTTCAGCCAGGGCTACCCCCGGCGCCGCGTCCCGGAGCCGGGCGGCGTATGCTACTGCGGCTTCTCCCGCGGGGGAAGGTGTGCGTCTCAGCTGCTTCATTGTGTGCACACGCGGGAGCGCCCTCTTTCCCTCCCTCCCTTCCCGTCTCTCGCGCCTTGCGCCCCCATCGTTGTTGGCTCGCGCCGGGAGGGCATGGGAGGGCTGAACACTCGGGAGCGGCCAGCGGGGCTTGGTTAGATCGCCGACCGGGGCGCCCACTTCGCGCTTCTGGTTCGGGCAAACTTGGAAGAACTGCGACCACAGTTTGCCCAGCGCCACAGTCTTAAGTGGCGCCTTCTTTTCCCCTGGCTCTCGCACCAACTGGGGCGGTACGGAGGGCTCCCTTAGCCCCTCAGCCCTTCCGGGAGACGGACCCGCGACTGGGCCTGGGCCGGTGGAGGCTAGGGATAACTCCCGCCAAGCCTCTGGCCTCCGGACGTCGGCAGTTGAGGGCTGATTTGGGGGTAGTTCTTGAGCTGCCTGCTACTGATTTGGGGCAAGCTTTCGTGTTACCGTTCCTCAGTGTTACTCTAATTGCGGTTGGTCACTTGTGGTTCTGGGGACTTCTCAGCCATCCAGCGCTGCGCCCTGTCCTGAGTTGGGCTCACCCACGCACCGCTTTCGGAAGCTTAATTGGGTGCTTGACTTGAGGTCCGCAGACCCTGTGTTCCCAGTGTACAAGGCCACTAGCTTTCCTTCATCAAGAGCTTGAGAGCCCCTACGTTCTTTCTCAGCGCTGGTGTATGGGCAGCAATGGGTCTCTAACAACTTGCGCAGTCTGGTTGCATGTTTTTCCGGCTCTTAGTTCCAACCCAATCGGTGCTTCTCTGGGGCTCTGAATGAAACGTGTCGGCAGGAGCTAATCCTTTGGCTGGGTGAGAGCAGAACTGAAAGAGGCGAAGCGATGCTTCGAGGGCGCGGGCTGCTCAAAAACCGCAGCTGAAGTCCTTAGTGACCTCAGATCATAGAGTAAAACGCCAAATTCCCTTAAACTTCTCTATGCGTTTTGCCTAAGAGCTCTGGTCTACGAATGAAAACCATTTTGTAGGCATCTTTAAAGCATCACAGTTTTCATACTGAATGGAATTGCTACTTTATTGTGGTTGCTCTTCAGACTCTAGCAAAGACGGCTTTTGACTACCGAAATTAACACATTTATGTAAATTTAAGCACTGCCAAAAAGAGAAACAGTCTGGGAGAAGAGGGGGGAAGCCTATCCATCATCCAGCAGCGCAGCACATTCTGTAGAGGGAGCCTTTTTTCAATTCAGAACCAGCTGAAACCTCGGAAGAGTCAAAGGCGGAATCCGTGATGAATCAGTGGGTTCCTTCTTCCTCCTTTTTCTAGAACTCCTTCGTTTGTTAATCAGTGAATGGGAGACACTGCTCCCACAGCTCCTTAAGTTTCTCAATTCTCCTTTCTCTTAGTCTACTGTTATTTCATTCTTTTAAATTAATTGATAAGGATCAGCTTTGCTTTCCTGTCTCCCCCCAAAATGTCAGGGAATTCAACTTTTGAAGGCTCTTAGTGTGGATTTCTTTTAGGAACTTTTTTCTCCTCTAATCTGGGCTTTTTCTAACGGTGTCTTTGAAACACACAGATATTTCTCAACATGATTTCAGATAAGATATCTCAAAAGAGAAAACACTTAAGGATGGTAAAATTGCTTCCGTATTCTTTAGTGGATAATGGGACACACAGGGGACTTCAGTTCATTCTCAGCAGGTTGCAAATCTCCTTAATACTGAAGTGAAGATTTTCAACGTAAATAATTTTTGTAATCGTCATTTACTTTGCTAACAAAATTCCTAGTGGTTAATATAAATTCTTCACTAGATTTTTTTTTTTTTTGACTGCAAAGGTTCTTTTTACTTCTTACTCCCTCCCACCTCTTTGCAATTACAGTGCTTGCTAATTAGCTATGAATTTCTAATTATGTGTGCATTTTTGTGAAATTCATTTTAGTACTAAGGGCACTAGTGACTTTTCTTTAAGGCATTGATGCTGGTAGATGGAATCAACATACAGGTCACTGGGAGGTCAGAGGCACATTTTATTTTTTCAAAAAGATTTAGTTGAAAGATAATTGTGTCTTTATGGTTACATGGGCTTTTCAAAGTAAAATTTAAGTGATGCAACTGATTGTTGCTGAAAGAGTAACTTAGGAAATATGCCCTGTTATTAAAAGAACAAAATCTTCCTCTCCTGCAATTCCTGATTATATGTGTGTGTGTTGTTGTTGTTAAGTGCGGTTGAGTCAGTTTGGACCCATAGTGACCCTGTGTAGGGGTTCCCAGGAGCAGCTGGTGAGCTTGAACTGCCAATCTTTGCCATCCAGCGCATTAACCCACATTGCCACACCAGGATATATATATATATATA